GAAAAATATATTTATGCTATCTCTACACTGATATTCTTAAAAGTAGACTCAGTGAAAATACAATGACAAGATAATAAGTTGAGAGGGAATATGTTATGGGATATTTAAAGCAAAAGGTAGGAGAGAAATGATTTCACTTCAGAATGTTTAGTGGGAATTAGAAGCAAGGAAGAGAATAATCAGGGCTGCAAAAATTGAATTATATGATGCTTCGAATTATAGAGTTTTGATTTTAAAAATTACCCATAATGCAGACAAAAAGAGCTGTCAGAAACTGTCAGATTAAAAGTAGACATGGGAAATTTAATAATAATAATAGAATAATAACAATAATAATGAATGGCCAGCATTTTCAAAGAAGGGGGAAGCAAAAGAAAATATTTTAAAAAAATATAAAGAGAAGATTTCCTAGAACTGGGAGAAAAATCTCTGAATTTACACATTAAAGGAATTCACCCATTTTCAGGCAAAAACAGACACCTAGTTATCTTCTACTTCTATGCTATACTTATATGCTAGCATATTCATACACTAATCATTTTCTGGTGACAGATTATTTAAGAAAGAAAGAAGCCAACTATCCATCATCTGGATAGAATAAACAAATCTCATCTTCAAAGAGAAAGAAATGGGTGAATCTCACATTTTACTTCAATGCCCAAAGTAATAAAGAATGCTTAGGAATTTTTGAGAAGGCAAGATTCAGACCAAAGAATGCACTTCTCTGTAAATCTACACTTTCCAAAGGAAGGAGCAACTTCAGAAATACACAACCCTTGTACTTATCCTTAAAACTCGTTATTCAGGAAGGTAAGAAGCCAGGGAGACAGGAAATTAAGTTACATTGCTTACGGGGTAAAGAACTTACGGTCATAGCTTGTCTGCAAGTACCCTAGATTGGTTGGCTTAAAAGTAACTGGCTTTTTTTCCCCAGTTTTGGAAGTTGTGAAGTAGGAGCTCAAAGTGACAGCAGTTTCAGGGATGATGGGCCATTTCCTAGCTGTGTCCACATGGTGAAAGAGGGAAAAGCCCCATGCCTCCGGTCCCTTAGAAGGGCATGAATCTCATTGTAAGAGCCTCATCCTCATGGCTCAATCACTCACAGAGATTCCCACCTCCTAAAATCATCACATTGGTCTTAAAATTTCCACATGAGAATTCTGGAAGGGTGTCGACAATTTGACCACAACTCGATTTGCACTTACCATGCGTAAAGAATCATGCCTCCATACTTGTGGTAAATGTGGTGATGAAAACAGCCCATGTAATTAAATTAATGAAGGAAAAACAGAGAACATAAGAATAATTTTTAAAAGGATGGAAAAAAGTTGGAGATGTTGGAGATTTCAAAACCCTTAGGAGATGGGGAGGAAGGGTGAAGTTGGAGAGGTTCAATGAAAGGAGAAGTACTAACTTCCCTTCCCTGGCAATGATTACGTTATTAGAATTATTGAAGTGGAAGCTTCTAGATGGCCACTTTTTAAGTGTATTCTTTAAAAATTTAGAACTGACTCCCCAAAGAATTAAACTGTCATGTTTTTCATGTGATTTCTGGGGTAATAAATGAAAGGCAACACTGATGATGGCTAAGGACATGCTTTTCCAGTTGGAACATGCATACCAATCACCTAGACACTTCTTAAAATGCAGACACAGGCTCCATGAGTGTGGTAGAGCCTTAGATGCTGCAATTCTAACCAGGAGATGCTGCTGCCAGCTTGTTAATCACATTTGTAGAAAGACACGGCTGACGTCTAAGGGGTGCATGTCTTTAAATTCTGTACACTAGATTCGTGTATATACTCCAATATTCTCTTCAGCTTCCCACCTCTAGACCTTTAGCCTTATTTGATCTTTTCTCAGAAGTGACTACCTCTTTCCTCTACCACTGCCAACATTCTACCAAACAGTCTAAGTCAACGACTGTTCAAATCATACTTGTTCCAGAAGGATCCTTCTTTCCTGGTCCGATTTGCTAAACCTTTCCCCTGAGCCTTGTCTTTCAGAACTACCTACATTGCACCCTTTTGTGCACTGCCTGGGTAATTCTTTTCAGAATGTAAAGAAGGATCTCAAAGTAAGGAGCTTGTTCTATTCAATATTATTTACTCACAAATTCAGGTCTTCATTTCTATTCAAAATTCAATACCTTTAAGTTAACTAAGCTTATTGAGAAATCACCATAGCAGTTGGCCAGAGAAGAACTAAATGCAAGCAGGAAAATGTGAAAGTGCTTTTGGAAGTAAGACCTTTATCTGTTGTTTGATCTGTTGTGGTCTCTGGGGTGTCTGAGAAGCGGTGGAGAGAGTTGACTAATTGCAGTGGTAAATCAATAGCCAACTAATAAGTGTAGACATTCAGTCCTGTGCATCTACCAAAATCACTCAGCCCATCAATATGCAGAATGCAGGGAGGAGGGGGGAGCATTCTGTTCCTAAACTGGATTCTCTAGCTTTAAATAATTTGTTTTGACTAGATTTAGACAGAGACAGAGACAGAGATAGAGACATGGACAAGGACAGAGACAGACAAAAAAAATAGATAGTAGGTGGGTTCATAGGTTGGTTGGTGGGTTGATAGGTACAGAGGTGAGCAGATAGATATGTTTATAGCAATCTATTTTAAATCCATGAGTAATTTCTTCCATTCTTTTCATAACACATTTTTGCAAACTTTTCTTTGTCCAGTTCTGAGACAAGCATAAACCTATATTTAAAATGAGCTAAAAATGAAAATATATAGCCAAAAAATGTAAAAGTCATTCAAATGAATTCCAAGTTTGTTTTAATCACCTTTCATTAACCTACATGGGGAGGAATATTATTATATGAATGGATCACTGGAGGGTGGGGGCTCAACTTTTACTTTGTTCCTTTTTTTCACTCATTAGAAAAATTATCTTCTGGGAGCGTGCGGTGCTGGCGCGTGCGTGTTGGGCGCCTCTGCGCCGTGGGGCCTGGTGGCCGCCATGAAGTTCCGAGCCAAGATCGTGGACGCGGCCTGTCTGAATCACTTCACGCGAGTCAGTAACATGATTGCCAAGCTTGCTAAAATCTGCACCCTCCGCATCCGCCCAGATAAATTGAACTTCATCCTCTCAGACAAGCTGGCCAGTGGAGGGGTGAGCATGTGGTGTGAGCTAGAGCAGGAGAACTTTTTCAGCGAATTTCAAATGGAAGGTGTGTCTGCAGACAACAATGAGATTTATTTAGAACTAACGTCGGAAAACTTATCTCGAGCCTTGAAGACTGTACAGAATGCTAGAACCTTGAAAATCAAGTTAACCAATAAATACTTTCCCTGCCTTACTGTCTCTGTAGAGCTGTTGTCTGCATCAAGCAGCAATCGAATCGTGACACATGACATCCCCATAAACATTATTCCTAGAAAATTGTGGAAGGACTTACAAGAACCTTTGGTTCCGGACTCTGATAAGACATCTACACTGCCTTGGAAAATGCTGACATTTTGCAAAGAGCTGTAGGTAACCTGGCCCCAGGTTAGTATTTATTTGCCAGTTTTGAAGACTATGAAGAATATTGTGGAAAAAATGAAAAATATCAGCAATCACCTTGTTATTGAAGCAAACCTAAATGGAGAATTGAACTTGAAGATAGAAACTGAATTAGTATGTGTTACCACTCATTTTAAGGGTCTTGGAAACCCTCCATTAGCCTCTCAGAGTTGTAGAGACAGAAGCCCTGGGGAGCTGACTGAGGTGCACATAGAAATCAAGAAGCTCCTACAGTTTCTTGCAGGACAGCAAGTGAACCCTACCAAGGCCGTATGCAATCTTGTGAAGAACAGGATTGTTTACTTCGATTTGCTTCATGAAGATGTCTCCCTGCAGTACTTCATCCCAGCCTTGTCCTAGCACCATAGCACCGGACTTAGAAAGGCAAAGCTTCTGTCGTGGCAGCAGAGATGGTGCCCTGACCAGTCTGATGGTTGTCTGGTCTCACAGCGCCACAGGCCACAGAGCCTTATACCCTGCTTCTTTCTCCTTCTATAATAGTTAAGTAAAAGTTATGGAAACAATTTGGGTAAACCTGTTACTTCGTATCATTTGTGTCTGGGTTTTGTTTTGGGTTTAATCTGCTTTTAAGGCATTGAGAAGAACTTTGGAATTCTTTTTCTTTTGTTTTTGTTTTTCTTTTGTTTCTGTGGCACTGAGTATTAATCAGGTCCTGTGCATTCTACCACTGAGCTGCTTCCCCAGACATCTGGACTTTAGATAGCAAGTTCTTACTGAAAATGTAAAAATCCTCACTTGTGAATTGGTATTCCAGTCAGAGTTTGCAGGTCAGTACTTGGTACTTCCCCCAGGCTCAGCCTCCAGCTCAGTGCTTGGTGCCTAACAGCCCTCAGCTGTGAGCATGCACACCTCCCCTTGCTCCTACCTCTGATAGCAGCCTTGAACACCAGAGCCCTGAGAGATAAGGGCCGAAGAATCTGGCAAATCTGTTTGATTTGCCAGACACAAGTGCCTAGAGAGCCCACCCAGCTGGGTGGGAGCTCGTCCTGCTGCTCCTCCCACAGTCTCCCTGCTTACAAGTCCAGGTTACAAGTCTTCAGAGCCAGGATGGAGCCCAGGCCTTGTACCTGCTTGGCAAACCCTCTGCACCAGACTGCTTCCCCAGTCCCTTCAGGTATTGTTCTGTGTAATTCTTCGTTCCACTGTCATTCTGGAATAGAGTTCATAGTGCTGAGGTCAGCTTCAGTTCCAGCCGAAAGGCTTTCATTCTCCTTGTCCCATCAGGCTTCTATGTATTCTGTGCAGGTGACACCATAAGCAGCATGTCAGTGTTACACTAAAAGCCAAAACTAGGTTCCTTAGGAAAAAGTAGGTGGCAGGGCAACAAAATGAACATTTCTGACTTTTTCATAGTATTTGGGAAAAGCAATGTCTTTCATTTCTGATGCTTAATGAATGATGTTTAAGAAAGATGTCATATTTTGTGAAACCAGCATTTTATTATTAAAGATATTTTTTATTTTTTTAAAAAAAAAAAGAAAAGAAAAATTATCTTCTAACAAGAAAGGCTGCATAAACTCTGTGTATGAGAGACTTAAAGCCATGTATAGGAACTTGCTTTTTAAAAAGTTTCATCAAGAGTTCATTTTAGCCTAACAGGGCTGAAGTAGAGAGAAATGGAATAAAGAGAGAACCATTTTCTGTTCCCTACACTGGAAATAGGAGGTAAAGATTCAACTTGCCAATCTTAAGGAGTCTCTGAGACCTGGGCTTTACAAACTCTTGCCTTCAAAACCACAAAGTACTGCAGATGATTGAATCCCAACACTTCCTGCAAAAGGAAAGACAATGGGGTAGAAATCCCAGAATGGGCAAGCACTGTCTTAATGTCTAAAAATGGGAGAAATGAACATTCTTCAAACCAGAGACATACTCCTTATTTGTTACACCAAAATTGTACTTACTCCATTAATATTGTTTGCGGGCATCTGTAATAGAAACTGGAGGTCACTGGGAATCAGAAGTTGCGTGGAATCATACAGAATGAACAACTTCCTTTTCCTTGCAGCAAGATAGCTATGCTGGGAAATGAGCGGTTTTAGAAATCAAAAAGGTCTGTCTATCTCAATAGGAGGTGCAGCATTGATTTTGTTAGATGACTGATGCTGACCAGTGTCGAAAGCTCCACTGTGGAACTTGCCACCCAGCTGTGGATCACCCTTTTCTGTCAAACACATCTCAAATGGTGAACTGGAGGGACACTTGCAAGGCAACTTCCTTCTCTTCATATCTGGCCCTTGCCTTCATAGTTCAAGTCGTTCTTCAGTTCTCAGCATGAACGTTCACTCTCTGGCTGTGCCTTTCCTAAACTGCCAATGCCCCTGTTCACAGGGCTTTCCTTGTATTCTGTCATGTCTGTGGAACTTGGATTCTGAAAAACTCTACTAATTTTGAAGACGACTCCTCTTCCTCAAACATGTTAGATCTTTAAAATCCCTCCCACATGGAAGAGAGGGAGCTCAGCTATTCTGATTTGCTTAGGTCTAGCTGAGTTCCCAGAATGGGAGGCATTCAATGATAAAACTGGTAAAGCCCTGGGCCAAGTTCATCACCCTAACCTGAAAAGGTCTGGTCTCCTTACTCCTGTGCTCCCCAGAACTTTTCTTCCTTCCTATTGGGATTGAAGAAGGCTCAGTACCAAGAGATTTGGGGAGTGGGGATGCTATACCTCCTGGTATAGCATGGGCTGTGTATGAATTTGTTTCAAGCGCAAGGTGTGGTAAAAATAAGACATCACTTCCTTGCCTGTGTGTAAGTGTGTGGCATTGATCTGAGTTGGGTGAAATGTACCATAAACTATATAAAAAGAAATGGAACATTCAGGTTGTTCTTGCTTCTTTTGTTGGGCTACTCTATGGGAAAGACAACTTAAAGAAATCTAGTTGGATTAGTGGATTCACAAGGTGGGAAATACTGCTTTAAGGGTTTTTTTTGGTAACTATTTCTTATTGTTATTATAAAGGTGATATACAAAGGAATTACGATTACATAATTCAGGTAAAGAGTACATTTCTTTTTGAACAATGTCACCCTTTCCTTTGCTCTCTCCCAGTTTTTTCAGTTCTTTTTTTTAAAAAAATTCCTTTCTTCTTTTGATTCTCAGTGCAGAGGACCAAGCCCAAGACCTTGAACATGCTAGGCAAGTACTCTACCACTGAGATACATCCCCAACTCTCCCTTTTATTTGTATGTTTTTTTTTTTTTGTTTAAAGGTGCTGCTAGGGATTGAATTCAGGGCATCGCACTTGCCAGAAAGCTACTGTGCCATTTAGGCCACACCATAAGCCCCTCTTTCTTCAGTTTTTGTTTTTGATGGTGTCTCCCAATTTTCCCCAGATGGCCTCAGACTACAGTCCTCCTCTCTCTGTTCCTCCCCAAGAATCTAGCTGTGATCCCAGATGTGAAATATCCTGATTCATATGCCCCCCTCACACATCCTTTTTGAAAGAGGGTTGCATTATGTTGTCTAGGCTGATGTTAAACTCCTGAGTTCAAGTATTCCTTCCTTTTCAGCCACAAGAGTTTGAGGGTTATAAACATGTGCCATCAGATTTTAAGTGGGAGTCACTTGCCCCCAAATCAAGACTCCTTAGAATAGTATCTCAAGAACAAGCAAGCACATTTCTCACTGGTTGCTAGGATTACGGGAAAGCTTACGTTTCTGTCTCAGGGGAAGCATGCTTGGAGAAATTCAATTTCTCCTTTTGGGAAGGATTTTTGTTAAGGTTGTGGTCAAGCAAAGAACTTTGAGAAGTGGGGTTAGAAGCAGGAGAGAGAGCCGAGAAGAGAGCTCTCAACGTGAGAATCAGAGAGACATAGTAGAACGTGAGTCTACCGTCTGTACTAACCAGGAAGGACACAGAGCTGCTTTAGCTCTGGAGATAGCAACACAGAAGGATTCAAGGCAGAGTCAGGATAGGAGAGTAGATGTGCATCCACATCTGCAACTTTAAAGCCATGAGCTGCCCCTAATCATCAGGTCCTTTTCCTTGTATAAATGGGATAAAGAGGTCTAGGTTGAAGGATCTAAAATGCTGAGCAGCAACCTGAGCCTGGAACCCGACTGACAAATTGCTATCCTGGTTTCCAAAAGACTGATCTCGAAAGTCACCTCAAGCACTGCTTCCAAGAATCAGACACATCACCTGAGAACGACAGCATCCAGTTCATCAGTAAATGGAGCATAGGGAGAAGGGTGTGTTCCTCATGAATGGTAAGTGGGTAGGGTGAATTGGACAGTCCAAGGAGCATCAGTGATGAATTCTACTAACCCAAAGGTGATTTCACAACAGACTTCTATTTGACAGCTGTCTAATATGGATATGATTTTAGATCCTAAACTTTGCAAAGATACCATGCCCCATGAAATGCAGAGTAAATCGATGAGCCAGGATGATGGAAAATCTGTAACATCTTGTTTCTTTAACATCTAAAGCCCATGGCAAAATGTCAACATCCCTCAAATATCAACAACCAGTACATGGATGCCTGTTTTATTATTGTCTGCAATCTTCTCTATGAAGGATCCTATAATAAATCATTGTTTAACACTGAGGACAGGAAAGACATGCCCCATGGAGAAATTTGAGAGATCAGGTAATAGCCACAGATGGCAAATACCCCCTCCTTTCTTGTGGGCAGTCTTTGTTATATCAGCTGTCAGAATGTGAACTGTGGAGGCCTTGAAAAGATTAGGCTAAATCTTTGCTGACTTTGGTGATTTGATTCATTTATATGATATAGTTTTTCTTTTCTGTCCATTTTGACTTAATCCCTGAAAAGACTGATGTAATTTGTCTTCCAATGTGAATTTGGTATGGCCGGATTTATGGTCTTGTCTAATGACCACACTAACTTTATGCATTCTAGTAATTCAGTGGAATTATTGGTTGGGAACTGATAGGTAAAGTAGCAAGCTTGAAGATATCTTTTTTTGTTTGTTTTTCATCATTGAAGAAGGTAGTTATTTCTTTCCTAATGTGACAAATACAATTTCCACATATACAAATATGTCTGATAGCAGTGTAAAACCTGAGGTGACTTTATTAGTGAACCGATGAAACAAAAAACAAACCAACCAGGCACCAATAGCTCATGCCTAAAATCCTAGCTGCTTAGGAGGCTGAAATCTGGAGAATTTCAGTTCAAAGCCAGCCAGGGCAGAAAAGCCCAGGAGACTACATCCAATTCACTAGCCACTAGGTTAAGTGGCTTTATTGGTAGAGTGTTAGTCATGAGCAAGGAAACTAAAGCATGGTACCAGCATCCATGCACATGCACGTGCATGCACACATACCCATTCATACACACACACACACACACACACACACACACACACACACACAAAGGCAGTCAGAAAACAACCCCATACCACCCTTTCCCTCTGGAAGGGGGAAAACAAAGGAGGAGACAACAATGCTCAAAAGGAAATGGACTCATTACCTTGCTCATGTAACTGTAACCCCTCTGTACAGCATTTTTACAATAAAGAATGCACCAAAAAAAGAGAAAGAAAACAGCCCCAAGAGAATCCTGAGTCCTACTTTTAAATGATGAGGTCAAATTCTGTAATGCACTAGCCTAACGCATGAATCTAGAAAGTAAGCTGATAGAGACTGCTCTAGGTTAGAGCAGCTTTGGCTGCAAGTAACAGCATGTGGAGTGCAAAGGTTTAAACACAGACATTTAATTACCCCTCAGAGCACAGAGTCTGCAGGAGGAAGCCCAGGTCTGCATCCGGTTCAGCTGCTCAACCATCTCCACTAGGTCTAGATCCTTTCACAACACTGTTGTGCCAGCTTGATGATTCTGTGATTATAACCTGGTTGATGCAGCTATGAACATCACAAGTCTTTTCAAGGTAGGCAGGATCTGGGAGAGCTGGCAAGAAGTAGGTTGGGTAAAAACCAAAACCAAACGAAACTCCATCCTATTAAATCAGCAATGAGGAGAGTCTTTCATATAGGTGACAAGATGTGCACTTCAGGAAATTCAGAATAAATAAACTGCCTTAAACATTGCATAGTTCAGGCCACTTTCTGACTGGGGAATGGTAGTGGCCCTTTGGAGTAGATGCTTGATAAATAAACCAGTCAAAGATAATTTATCAACAAAACCGAGAACTTCACAAAATAATACCTTCAGTCTTTATAAGTTTGTTCACCTATATTAGCCTTTCAAATACAGTTCCATGTGACTTCAATCACACTCTAGTTTACTACAGGTTTGAAAAAGGTAAACCTACTTCCCAATTAGTTTGTCCTCAATAGAGTGATCTAGTCACTTGCTTAACAAATTCCAAATGCACATTTCTTAGGTCTAAGTGTTACAAAAGTTACAGACGGGCTTAAAATAGGGCGAACCTCTCATTAATAAGATTGTGGCCTACTACTAAGGAGCAACCTAAAAGTAGTAGATCAGTAACTTAACTGACTTTTCTTGACCTTTGACTCTATCAACAGGAAG